ACAACTACAACATTTGGCGCCCAACTATCTCTCGACGCGGAGTTCTGCCTCCGCAGCTCACGACCCTGAGATGTGTGTTGCTCCCGTCACTGCTGGACTGTCCTTGTTTATTCGTCAACCCTGTCCGTGTTCGAACGTTCGTCGTGGAGCTGTGTCGTCGTGCTGTGTTGTCGTGCGGTGTCGTCGCGCAATGTCGTCATCCACTTGAGTCAACTGTGTCGTCGTCCGGTGTCCCGTCGTCGTCGTCGTCTACTCAATTCGATCAAGCTGACGCCCTCCGCTGAGCTGTGTTCAAGTGTCGCTGTGCGTCCGCCGTTTCGTTGTCCTGATACGAGTAGAGTATCAGCTTCGCCGTCGGCTTCCTGCTGCTCCGAAGTCGTGTGCTGGCTGGGAATGCGCCGCCTTTCTTCTCTCCATATCTCTCTTCTTTTCTTTGTTTTCCGGTGAGTGTTTGTGTGTGTGCATGCGTGCGTGCATGCGGGAGTTTGTTTGAATTGCTACTTGTCTTGGGAACTGGCGTCTGATCATGGTGAACCACGGTTGGTTCTCCTTGTGGCAGTCCACATCGAAGGCAACGAACGTCCGATCAGGGTGAGCCCGGGTTCATTGCTGGGAGCTAGACTCGCTGCTTGTTTGTCGTTGTCATGTATATATTTTATTTATTTTTGTTTTTTTTCGGTGACAGTCATGGGTTTGGCTGGCGTTGTGTGGATGGGCAGGGCTCATCGGTTTTTAGGCTTAGGTTTAGCCTGTGTTTTTTTGTGTGTGCGTGGCTAGACAGCAATGCAGTGTTTCTTCTCTTCTCTTTAAAACATTCACCTCTCTTTCTTTCTTCTGGCTTTGGTTGCCCTGTTTTATTCTGGGCAGCTACATGCGTTGGTTCTGTGGCTACTTTTGCTGTTTGCGGTTGCGTCTCTCTGCGTATTGTGTTTTATTTGGTCATACCGAGGACGGTATGTGTTTTTTTGGTCGGGATATTGTGGTAGATTTGGTGTCACGTGTTTGTTTCGTCTTGGTCGCTGTGGACACGCGTCATTGGTTGGTGGTGTTGTGCGCATGCGCGAAACTGTGTGAGCGAGTCTTTGGTCTGTTGTCTTGTCAAGATGTAGTTGTTTTCCGTGTTCTTGTTTATTCGTCAATAAAAAGAGTGTAAAAAGGCAGTCCAGTGGTGGCGGTTGAGCTGATGCAGTGATGGAGAAGTAATGCTAGACTTACAACTACAACATAGTTCTTACGCAGTGTGCTGGGCCCTCTGGCTTTCGGCCAGCGTCTACTGGTGTGGGACGCCTTTCGTTGTCATATTAGCGCTGACACAAAATCCGTCATGGCTGAGCTGAAGGTGCATCAAGCCGTGGTGCCAGGTGGCTGTACCAAGTACGTACAAGCACCCGATGTCTGCTGGAACCAGCCCTTCAAGGCGCATATCAGCAAGGCCCACGAAGACTGGCTTACCAGCGGAGTGAAGGAGTTTGCGAGTGGCGGAAACCCCAAAGCGCCGTCCATGCAGATTTACCTCCAGTGGGTGGTGGATGCGTGGGATGCTCTCCCTGCTGATCTCATCAAGGCATCCTTCATGACTTGCGGGATAGTCAATGCGGCAGATGGATCCGAAGATGAGCTGATTCATTGTTTCAAGCCACACGCCCGATCCCTGAAGGCTTACAAGTCCTCAAGGACCGAGCTCCGCAGCCTGCCAATGCACCCGCAGTGGAGCCAGAGGAAGAGCATGAAGAGGTAGAAATCCAGCTCCAAGAAGTGATCGTGGTTGACGGAGACACCATTGTTAGCAGCAGTGACAGCGATGGTTCCAGTGCTGACGAGTTGTAATTCATTCTCAGCTTTGGCATACGGGCTGCTACCCGAGTTAAAAAAATACAGTCATATAAAACATAAAAGTGCTCCACGTGCGTGACTTCCACTTCCGCATCATTCTTTTTTCTTCTCTCTGTTCTCTAATCATGAAATCTGAGTTAAATTCCGATTTGAGTGTGTTACCGGTATGCAACTTTCTTGACTTTTTCATGGTTGAAAACATATAAACACGGTCTCCAGTATTATCACGGTCTCCTCTATAAGCACGGGTGCGAGGTGGGTTGAAAAAATATAAGTACCGTGTTCATAAGGGAGATAATACGGTAGTTGAGCACTTGACCAGGTTTTCAAGACGATGCAAAGCATCCGGACATCGTCGATAATCCACCACTCACCTCAAGTCTAAATCGGACACCTCCGGCACCATCTGCTTCGTCCCCGTCACCAGCAGCGGGAGATTCGTGCTCTGCATTGTTGATGTCTACGTCATCATCATCTTCTTCTTCTGCTTCTGCTTCTTCACTATTGTTCTTATGTCCTGGACGCACAGCAGCAGCAGCAGCAATAACAACAGCAGCAGCAACAGCAGCAGCAGCAGCAGCAGCAGCAACAGCAGCAGCAATAACAACAGCAGCAGCAATAACAACAGCAGCAGCAATAACAACAGCAGCAGCAGCAATAACAACAGCAGCAGCAGCAGCAATAACAACAGCAGCAGCAATAACAACAGCAGCAGCAATAACAACAGCAGCAACAGCAGCAGCAGCAGCAGCAGCAGCAGCAGTAGCAGCAATAACAACAGCAGCAGCAGCAACAGCAGCAGCAGCAGCAACAGCAGTAGCAGCAGCAACACCGGCAGCAGCAGCAACAGCAGCAGCAGCAGCAGCAACAGCAACAGCAACAGCAACAGCGGCAGCAGCAGCAGCAGCAGCAGCAATAACAACAGCAGCAGCAACAGCAACAGCAACAGCGGCAGCAGCAGCAACAGCAGCAGCAGCAGCAGCAATAACAACAGCAACAGCAGCAGCAGCAGCAGCAGCAACAGCGGCAGCAGCAGCAACAGCAGCAGCAACAGCAGCAGCAATAACAGCAACAGCAGCAGCAGCAGCAGCAACAGCAGTAGCAGCAGCAACAGCGGCAGCAGCAGCAACAGCAGCGGCAGCAGCAACAGCAACAGCAACAGCAACAGCGGCAGTAGAAGCAGCAGCAGCAATAACAGCAGCAGCAGCAGCAGCAACAGCAACAGCAACAGCGGCAGCAGCAGCAACAGCAGCAGCAGCAGCAATAACAACAGCAACAGCAGCAGCAGCAGCAACAGCGGCAGCAGCAGCAACAGCAGCAGCAACAGCAGCAGCAGCAATAACAGCAACAGCAACAACAGCAAAGTACTGATATGACAATAGTCACAATACTCATCTATCGGAATGGAGTGTGATGGTGTGCTGGCGGTTACATCAAGTACAGCCACTATTTAAGGGGCCGTCGGCGTCCATAATTATTATCAATCTTTTTTACACAAAACGAAAAAGTTTCGTTTATGGGTGGGTGGGTCGAGGAGAGTGTTGTGCCCATGCTTGTTCCCGCAAGCTGATAATTATACTAGTGTTTAGTACCGTAATTCGTAGTGCATCCAGAATGAGTCTCAAGCTACTATAAGTCAACAAATATTTGGCAGATATTTATTTTCGGCTATTTTCGGGCCGGGCATTTTCGGCAGAAAATTTGTTGCGGCTGAAATTTCGATTCGCAAGTTTCAGTGTGACAGTGTATACAGGCCGCAGCAGTACAGGTCAACATTTTGATGTGGTCGAAATGTGTTTTAGCCTTGGGAAACCGAAAATTTGAACGCCCCAGAAACTAAGTTACTTGTAGACATACAGCACAGTCGTTGTAAAACAAGTACAGTCAACTTGGCTAATAACGACTGCGGATATAACGACAATTCGCGAATAACGACAGAATTTCCATGCCCAGAGCAAAGTCCCGTCCCACTGTAATACATAAAATGAGACTTCGGGTATAAGGACACTTCGCGAATAAGGACACCGTTTCGACGCCCCGCCGCCGAGTGTCGTTATAAGCCAAGTTGACTGTACGTAAGACTCTAAGCAGTCCAACATGCCAGGCATACACACACACACACACACACATATATCGGTGCTCTTACCACTCTGGGTCTTGAAATCCCACAAGCCATGCAGCTGAAGAGAGACAACAACAACAACAACGAACACAGCAACAACAACGAACACAGCGACGTGTTAATTAAGCAACAGGCGGGTGGAAAATCCGCTGCAATTGAAGTTTGTTCGAGTGGTATCTATAACTAATAAGCGACACTAAGCATGTTAAAATGGTAGAGAAAGTCCGCATGGAGACAAGTGAATTCTGGCCGCTTCCAGGAATGTGCAGCACTAAACGTCGTCCCCAATAATCACAGAGAAAGGTTGCACAAGCCAGATCGGGTCAGGAACAGAGGCTATGCAAGATGATGTCATGCTGGTGAACTAGCGGGTTGGGTTATGGGCGCTAGGTATACAGCGTGAACTAGCGGATTCGCTTATAGGACCTAAGTATACAACGTGAGGCGGCGGTTTCGCTTGAGCTACTGCATCGCTGTGTGTCGTGGCTTTGGCACGGCAACTCAACTGGTGCTGTAATCGCATACCCTCCATAGCTGTGTGTGTGGGGGGGGGGGGGGGGGGTCTGGCAAGGAACACGACAAGTAACGAGTCCGATGACGCCAAGACGATGCAATGACACAGTCGTACACTCTTTGTGTGCGGCCGGGTGGGGGCACACAGCATCAGCGTCAACGCCAACAACACACAATCCTGAACAACGTGCACACACACACCCACCCACACCAGCACCCATACCTGTAACATACGACGATGGATACACAGTGCAAGCAGTAGTACGATATCCAGGACAGTTGCACTGGTGAAGTTCGGTACACGATAGATGCCCAGCAGCTGGATGAAGGATGATGGAGATTTGGGATCCTCATTGAGCTCGGATGGCCATAGTGCAGACTGAAACATAAACTTGATCACAACTATAACCTACACGTGGAGCACACAAGACACACACACAGAGAATACAAGCAAACACAATGAGAAACGCTGAACACGCATGCACGCAAACACACGCGTGCACGCAGACGTGCACGCACACGCACACACACACACACACATATACACACACACAAACACACACACACACTCGCGCTCGCACACACACACACACGCCTGCACGCACACGCCTGCACGCACATACACGCACACATGTATGCACACACAGACAGACACACGTCTAGACACACACATAGCAGGCTACCAAAACACAAAGAGAAGGCAAGAACACGAGCAGAACCACACACAGCCAAAGAAACACCAACCAGCCCACCAAACCTCTACGTACGTCGACGTAACTAAGCTGAAATAAGCTGTAACTGGGAGTTTCATGGCTATCCACCAATCCTCTGACAACAAGTCGGATTGAAGGATACTCATAAAACTCCGAGTTACAACTTAACTCAGCCTAGTTGCATTGCTAACTTGGCTGTTCTTGGCTCTCCCCGCATGGCATTGAGCACTTTTAGCAAGCGTTTAGCAACATACCTCAACATAGGTGATCACCGTCACCCAGAACCGTGGTGAAGGCCGAGGCTTATCCAGTAGTGCCCACAGGAACACCAGCAGTGGCAGCGGCAATGTCAGAATCTGTCCCTTCACCACGTGATCCAGTATCATCAGGAAGTAACAGAAGACATCGGTGCGCGCCAGAATGGCGTAGTACAGTGCCCAGCCGATTCTGGCCGGCATGTATATCACGTGGGCAACCTCGTTACGCAGGAGTTTCTCGGTCGCAGCTGAGCGCGTCGTGAGCGAGCGCTTCTTCAAGATGAAGTCCAATGCGGACAGTGGCCCCAGCTTGCTGCGACGCGTACTCGAGCGACCGGTTCCGTCCCGTCGCTCGTTTTCGTCGTCGTCCGAGGCTGCCTGGATTAGAGAGGATGCGGCCGCAGGTGCAGACACCGTACTGGAAGATGCAGACGTAGAGCTGTGATTGGTCTCACCGTCACCATCAGCACCACCGTCATCGTCGTTGTTGTCTCTGCGCTTGCGATTCTTCTTCTTCTTGGCACTCTTGGGCACGTGAGTAGCCAGGATAGTGCCTGGCGGTGCGCAGTAGTCAGCGATGTCCTCTTCACTGCCACTCTGGCCTGTTACAACACATATACATGCATACACACACACAAACACACACACACACACACTCATGTAAACACACAGGGATATAATAACAGACAGACAGACAGACAGAAAGACGGACGGACGGACGGGCAGGCAGGCAGGCAGGCAGACAGGCAGACAGACACATACACGCACAGACACACAGACACACACACACACACACACACACACACACACACACACATACACACACGCACACACTACATGCGCCCTGTAACACCTACCCTGGTCCTGTAGTCTCTTGAGCAAACGAAGTCGTCTCAACCGAGTCTCCACATAGATGTAGTCATAGGACATGCCGTCCAGCCAGTAGATAACAGACTAGACAGAACCAACATCAACAGCAAACGCAAGGAAAGAACAAATAACAGAGAGACCTTCAACCAGCATGATTGTGTGAACAAATAAATAGTATTGAAGTTTGCATTCAACAACAGTGCTGTTCAACGCCACACCTGCAAAACAACAGCAGCAGCAGCAGCAGCAGCAGCAGCACCACCACCACCACCACCACCACCAGCAGCAGCAACAGCAACAGCAACAGCAACAGCAGCAGCAACAGCAGCAGCATCAACAGAAACAGCAGCAGCAGCAGCAGCAACAGCAGCAGCAACAGCAGCACCATCAGCAGCAACAGCAACAGCAGAAGCAACAGGTCCCAGTCCGTAAACATTCTACACTCCATCCAGCATGTCTTACCTTGTTCAAAAAGTCATTGAGGGCGTCGATGACCTTTCGCAGGAACGAGCGATCGTCAGCTTTGTCACTCTTCTTCTTCCGCTGCCGTGGACCGCCTTCAGCTGAGCTATCCTCAGCGCAAGCCTCTGACTCTGCAGTGAACACAGCAGAGCATAGAACACAACACAACACAACAGACAGTCAGTGCAATGATAGAGTAAACATCACAGGTCCAAGTCTGAAGAAAAAGTTGAACGGTCTCCGCTGGGATGACAGCTACACCATAGATGAGTGATTGGAGCATCGCTGGCCTCAAGCGAAGGTCCATGGTTTGAGTCCCGGTGGTGACTGTCAATGTTTTCTTCAGACTTTTCCGTTTGCATCTTTCCCTCAAACCAATGAATAATATCACTGGTATTCCCCATCTGTCTGGTCTTGCTGGTCTTGCCGTTGCCCCCACTGGGACCAGGGGTACATGTACAGGCAAGACACGGTGTTGTTGGAGTAGAGTGCTAATAAGCACACAAATAAAATATCATCGTGGCAACCGCTTCTGTCATCAGCAAGACTCACAAGACCCCCCCCCCCCCCCCCCTCCCCACGCACTTGGACGCACACACACAAGAACGCCCGCACATTGCGCCTGCAACCACCTCTACCATGCGGTATTCTGTTCTCGAGGTTCGTGGTTTCTCGTAAAAAAAAACTAAAAAACATACACACACCCCCGACATACATACACACGCACACACAATCGCGCACACCCATGCACGCACGCACGCGCACACACACACCCACACACACACAGTGCACAAGTCACTCACCCGCAGCGCTAACAAGCTCCTCAATAGGTGTCTCCGCTCGCCTCCCTGCACCCTCCAATGACGACATTGGATCAACGGACGACATGTCCTCACGGTCGTCCTCACTGAAGGAACCCGACGTGTCACTGGTTATCGATGCTCTGCTGCCTCGGAAACGCTTCTTCAGATCCTCTTCAGGAATAATGGCTAAAGTGCAGTGCATACACACACACACACACACACACACACACACACACACACACACACACACACACACGTACATGATACGTTCTTATTTATTCGATACTGAAGAAGAAGACTTGGAAACGGGAACATACGTGTCGTGGAAAACAAACAGGAAGAATAATTACACTCAACAGGAGAGGCTGAGCCATATTCCTAATACGTGTGTGTGTGCGCGCGTGCATGCAATGCAACACAAATAGGGAAAGTACTTGTAACAAGTCTTACATAAGTGAGAGCTCGCCTATCCGGTCCTCTTTTATCCGGATCCCTCTCATCCGGAAGAAAATCGTTGGTCACCGATTTACAGCATATTCCATGCATACATACACAGTCTGTGTGTTCGATTATCCGGTGCCCTCGCCTCTCCAGATTGTTTTTCTGGAAAACGGATGTGTGCAGATACAGTCAACTTCCCTAATAACGACTGCGGATATAACGACAATTCGCTAATAACGACTGCGGATATAACGACAATTCGCGAATAACGACTGCGGATATAACGACAATTCGCGAATAACGACTGCGGATATAACGACAATTCGCGAATAACGACTGCGGATATAACGACAATTCGCGAATAACGACTGCGGATATAACGACAATTCGCGAATAACGACAGACTTTCCATGCCCAGAGCGAAGTCCCATCCAACTGGAATACACATAATGGGACTTCGGGTATAAGGACACTTCGCGAATAAGGACACGTTTTTGATGCCCCGCCGAATGTCGTTATAAGCGAAGTTGACTGTATGCGAGGTCTGACTGTACGCGTACACAGTACTTACTGCCACCATAGAGGGTCTGGAAAGCGTGTGGCTCCTTTTCCAGTGCCAGCACCCTGTGTGATGGAGGTGGTGATGGTGGTGATGATGGTGATGATGGTGGTGATGGTGATGGTGGTGGTGGTGGTGATGGTGGTGGTGGTGGTGGTGGTGATGATGGTGGTGATGATGGTGGTGGTGATGGTGGTGATGATGGTGGTGGTGATGGTGGTGATGGAGGTGGTGATGGTGGTGGTGATGATGGTGGTGGTGATGTGAGGAACAACACACGTGTGCATATAGACACACAGGCAGGTAAGTACGCACCCCCGAACACACATGTACACACATGAACAGACGTACACGTGCACACACATGCACGCACACACGCAAACACACGCACGCACATGCGCACACACATGCACACACATACACACATGAACACACACATGCACACACATGCACACACATGCACACACATACACACATACACACATACACACATACACACATACACACATGAACACACGCATGCACAAACAGGTCAACACATGCAATCACAGCAATCCTGAACATACTACTCTAAAAGTATCGCGGCGTGTGGATTAATAGATATTACTTATCTTAGGCATTTTGCTCTAGACTTTTCACAGGATTTTGTTCCCGTGCACTTAATCCTGCGTTTTCTCAATTACTTTCGTTTTTGCTCTAGACTTTTATTTCATTCTTGTCGTATTTTGCGTACCGCTGCCACGGATAAGCAACATTCATGTCTCCAGTGTCACGTACGCGCCTGCTGTACTTGAGCACATGCTCATAATTATGTGGACAATCTCTTCCTTTCTTTTTCAGTTCTCAGTTTTGTTTGGTCTCGCCGTGCGCGGCTCTGTCTTGTCCAGCTTTGTCTCCCTTTGAACCCTCAAAATTCAGCCAAAATAGGGAGGTGCGCCTTATACTCCGATGGTCAAATTAACGGTCATAATTAGGGTAGATGTCTGTATTTCGTGGCAAAAAAATGGGGGGGGGTGGCTTATACTCCGGAAAACACGGTACCTGGAGTTGTTTGAGGACGTGACAACTCAAAATGAATTTCCCAAGGATGAGTAGCTCATCAGGTTAAGAGTGGCAGTGGTCGTGAACCGACCGGAGAAATCCTGCAACGCTTGCTGAAGATACGATGACGCTAAACGAGAGCTGCTGCTAGCCTTCGGCAAGACGTCGGACACGGCCTGGCGAGCGCTCTCCACGACACATCATTAGAACCCGGAGGAGTCGTTCTACCAGTTCTGTTTTCGGATTGCACAGGATGTCAGCCTGTGGGCCAAGCTCACCGTGGCAGGTGGTGTGGACAGTAGTGGTGGTACGGATGACGATGATGATGATAGTGGTGAGGCTGATGGCAATGGATTCGGCGTGGCAGATGAGCGCATCATGGGCGCCCTGATTAAGCAGCTGGTGCTGGAGACAGGGAGCGCTGAGTTGAAAGCATTTATGCTAGAACGGAAATGTTGTAAAGATGACATTTGTGGAGTTTCAAGCTGCGGGCACGTCGTACCAAGAGGCTCATGGCCGATCACGAGGACACCACGCGTCGAATCCCAAGCTGGCACCGGAGCTTGACTGCTGTGTATGTGCCATTCTTCCGCGGCTTGGGTGGAACGACGCGCAAGCGGTGCTTCAGGGTCGACTTCAATTTGCGAAGCACGTGTGCCGCTGGCTTGGGGTCAGCAGTTGCGTGCAAAGTCTCTGTATACAAAATGTGCACTGTCGTCAACAATATGGCACCCTTGTCCAACAAATCACGTGCTGTAGTAGAAATTATTAGGGAGATGACTCTCGGCACCGCCCGTGCTGTATTGTGAAATGATGCTTCGTAGGTTGTGCCTTGTGGTCTGTGCTTGGTGCACAGTCGCCAGGGAGCATGTCGATTTGCTTCTGGTAACAGCGTCCACAAAATCGACTCTCGTAATTTCTGATTTTCTTTGTGTCCACAGCACTTGTGTCAGCAGTTGGAGCAAACACCCTCAGCAGTCAACGAGTGTGTGTGTGTGTGTGTGTGTGTGTGTGTGTGTGTGTGTGTGTGTGTGTGTGTGTGTGTGTGTGTGTGTGTGTGTGTGTGTGTGTGTGTGTGTGTGTGTGTGTGTGTGTGTGTGTGTGTGTGTGTGTGTGTGTGTGTGTGTGTGTGTGTGTGTGTGTGTGTGTGTGTGTGTGTGTGTGTGTGTGTGTGTGTGTGTGTGTGTGTGTGTGTGTGTGTGTGTGTGTGTGTGTGTGTGTGTGTGTGTGTGTGTGTGTGTGTGTGTGTGTGTGTGTGTGTGTGTGTGTGTGTGTGTGTGTGTGTGTGTGTGTGTGTGTGTGTGTGTGTGTGTGTGTGTGTGTGTGTGTGTGTGTGTGTGTGTGTGTGTGTGTGTGTGTGTGTGTGTGTGTGTGTGTGTGTGTGTGTGTGTGTGTGTGTGTGTGTGTGTGTGTGTGTGTGTGTGTGTGTGTGTGTGTGTGTGTGTGTGTGTGTGTGTGTGTGTGTGTGTGTGTGTGTGTGTGTGTGTGTGTGTGTGTGTGTGTGCGCGCGTATGTGTCTGCGTGCGTGCGTGTGTGTGCAGGTGTTTGGACACGACGGGTCAATCATCATCATCGTTAGGGAGTACTTGCAGCGTTGGAAGAAAAAGAGACTAGGGAGCCTGAGTGATGTCGCTACACCTGGGGTCTCGGACGATATCCACCTAATGATTGGTGCTGACTACGCATTTGACCTCTTCGAAGAGAAACGGCAGAGCGATGGGGAGACTGTCTGGCGAGACCGACTTTGGCCGGCCGCTTGTTGGACCGGTACGTGAGCCTGCGACCAGTTAGCCAGCAACACGCGCACAGTGGCAGTTGTGCAGTCCAAGAGTGACCGGCTCTCGGGGGAGGGAAGCGCCCGTGGGTGAGTCGAGCAACGGGCCAATTTGTCCCATTGCCGTGGAAGACGGGTGTTCTAAGGTCCGATTACTATGGGCCGATGATGAGCATCCACCTGACAACCGGTGAAGAAGCCCGCTACAGACACCCCTGAGAGACAACGCTATGATGCAGTTTCACAGTCCGAGTACCGTAGTGATGCGCATTAAAGCGTGTGTGCCTATGTCCGGGCATACGCGTGTGTGCCTATATCCGGGAATAAGCGTGCGTGCCTATATCCGGGAATAAGCGTGTGTGCCTATATCCGGGCATATGCGCAGCCTCACATATAAGCGCATGGGGGGTTATAACTTGTATGTGAACACACTTACATGTACATGTATAAGCCACATATTGACGTCACCACGCCTCCATGATGCTATCTTCACAGGATTTTAAGTGCAATTTCCAAATTCCACACCGGCAACTCAATTACAAGCGCGTGTGCCTATATGTGAGAGCAATCGACCTTCACATTTTTTTCAAATAATACCAAAAACTCGCTTATACGCGCATGGGCTTAAATGTGGGTCATTACGGTGTATGGCGCTGGGTACAGTAGAAGTCGACCCGGATCCTGAGCAAGATGAGTACTATACGCCTCGCTATGCTGATGGCATCAACGAATCACGAAGAAGTTATCATTGTATGCAGACTTAGCAATTGTCATCTTCTCCATCATCTGTGGACGCATACTCATGATTATATTTCCTTCTCCCGAGTGGGTCAATTGTTATTAGGCAGGTGTCTGTTATCGTCACCACTTTAAATACAATACAATGTATGAAGAAGTACAGGTCTACCTTGGTTAATAGATACCCCGGGGTGTGCGTGGAAATGAGCGTGGATGTGCACGTGGATGTGTGCATGGATGTGTGCGTGGATGTGTGCGTGCGTGTGTGTGTGTGTGTGTGTGTGTGTGTGTGTGTGTGCGTGCGTGCGTGTATGTATGTATGCATGGCATGCATGGTTGCGCGCACGAGCACTCTGCCGTACCTGTCACGGATGGTGGTAATGTTAGCGTGCTCAGCCTGCCGTCGAGCGCGGCGTCGATTGTGCTGCAGGCGTAGTAACATACGCAGTCCGCTGGTGTGTCCACGTGCAACAAATGAACACACAATCCGGGAATCCGGCAGAACAGACAAACAGGGACAACAGGCAAACACATTTCAATAGTTGAACAGGCAGATCGAAAACCAGCTGGGAACAAGGGGATGGCCAGAGTGCTACAGAAGAATCAGTCACCCCTAAGTCATATCAACTATGCACACACACACGCAGGCAGGCACACATACACATACACACACGCACACACGCATACCCGCCCACGCGCGCGCGCGCGCACACACACACACACACACACACACACACACACACACACACAACTGACCGACTGACTGACCAGAAACAAGTATACACTTGTCACATTGAGTAACTACGGAGGACAGTAAGTACAGCAACATTGCCAGCATCAGCCAACGAGTGAACAAGCACACCACCACATGCTAACCGCATTGTATCGCTTCAACTTACTCGGGCGCAAATTCCACGATGGTGTCCAGATGTTGTACGACATGTCCAAAGTACTGGCTGGAGAAGATACGCAGCTGTAACAGCAGCATGGCTAGAAGGAGAACATCCAGATACAGGCCGGCCTCGTCCTTCTCCTGATCTGTGGACGGAAACAACAACAACAACCACAACAACAACAACAACAACAACAACAACAACAACAACAACAACAACAACAACAACAACAACAACAACAACAACGTGAGAATAAAAGATTTCAAACAACAACAGCAGCAGCAGCAGCAGCAACAACATCAACAGCAGCAGCAAAAGCAACAGCAGCAGCAGCAGCAGCGATAAGACACAACAGTGACGGGTGCGGCAGCGAAGATGGCATCAACACCAGAATGGCGACAAGGCTTGATAGCATGAGACGTTTCAAACACAATGCCCCCCCCCCCCCCCCCCCCGAGCAGGGCAGGAGAGTATCACGGCAATGACACATGATGACAAGTTCAACACACAACACACAACTCGCAATCGAGCTACTGAGAGGCTATTTCTGACCCAGCAACAATGTACATACAACTGTCATCCCTGTGTACCGAGCACCTGCATCACCATCACTACAGTTCACTGTGTACACAGGTAACCATAAAGATCAACACAAACGAGTGGAAAAGAATATCAACCCCGAGTAGAACCTGTCTGTGGGTCTTATACAGTGTGCACTCGTATTGCTCTCGGGAAAGTTGAGGAAACCTGCAAGGTTGCCGAAGTGTCTGAAAACCCGCAAGGTTGTCTGAGAGTCAGGAACCCCGCAAGGCTGTCTGAGAGTCAGGAACCCCGCAAGGCTGTCTGAGAGTCCGGAAACCCACAAAGTCTGATGAGCCACAACAGCCATGGACTGCTGGTCTGCACTACATGGTTCATGTGTGATTGCAACATACAGAGGTGAACTAATCACAACTAGCAAGACCTCCCCCATCACCCAAACGTGCAAACTCGCAAACGCAAAAGCACGCACGCGCGTGCGCGCGTGCACACACACACACACACACGCACACACGCTCACACACACACCGCACGCAACGTACGACCTACAAACAAACAACATACCTGCCCTCTCGGTAGCACTGCCAATGTTGAGTCCACCCTGGCATGATGTTGCAAACAACTTTCCTAGGTTGTTGCTCAGATGGGTATCCGACATATACGCACACGACCAAATCTACACACAACCAACATACACACAAGAGTACAAGCCATACTGAAAACACAGGAGCTGATCTACATACCGACAAACATGACAATAATGAACGCCAGAGGGGAGGGGAGAGAGGAGAGGAAGAGGAGGGGGAGAGAGGGGAGGAGAGGGGAGGGGAGAGGGAGATGGGGGTAGAGGAAGTAGAGCAAGGAGAACAGCACTAACTCCAGTGTTGCACAACTCCCACATCCTAGTGTTACTGGTGATGCGATCACAACTTGTTGCACAACAACAAGGGAAAAAACAGCGAGAAATCAGACCCTACCTGCAGTGTGGTCTTGACGAAGATGACAAACACATTGAAGGCCAGCAGCCACTTCCACCTACAATGAAGCAGTAACACATCCAGACACGCACACAAAACATAAATTAACAAAAGAATATTTTTTAAAGAGAGGACCATAAGTTTACACGCTATCCGTTCCATCCAACACTGCCGATTATAAGCAGTTTATTTCCGTAGCTATGCAGACGACGTTACTTCAGTAACGTCTGGCGCTAGCCAGGGTCTACACAGCTTTAATTTGGTGTTTGTTTGTTTGTGTGTTTGTGTCACGCCTGGCGCTATCCCGTATCTCTCCCGTACCGTACCGTGCCATTAAACACAGCTGGCCATATACAGCTGGCCGCAATATTCAAATAGGGCTTTCAAACGCAAGATCATAACGTGAAGCAACTTGGAAGAATGAGTATGAATGCGAAGTGTATGGGGGAATGCATGTGGGGCGATAGTGCGGGTTCTAATCCCAGGTAATGCCTAAAAAAATAGGAGAATTGAAAAATGTATAACATCCCTTTTCTTTTTTTGCCGTCATCAAGGCGGTAGACGGTGTCGTATTACCCTCGACATTACCTGTCCCGTACCTGTCCCGTACCTATCCTGTACCGTACCGTACATTCAAAGACGGCTGGCCACAATGCATATTCAAATAGGGCTTTCAAATACAAGATCATAACGTGAAGCAACTTGGAAGAATTAGTATGTGTGCGAAGTGTATCGGGATGCATGCAGGGCGATAGTACGGGTTCGAATCCCAGGTTATGTCTCAAACAAAAAGTAGAAACTTATAAGAATTTATAACATCCCTATGCTTTTTAATCATGGAGGGAACTCTCAGCCTGAGCTGGTTTTGCTCGCGGCTGCAACGCACGGGGTAGTGAACCCAGGACAGAAGCGGACCAGGCATCATGACTTTGCACATCTATCGTTATGCTGCTTCATTACGCGACCTGTTTTATTATTATTATTATTTATTATGCTTTTTTTAGGGTTTATCGGGTGTTAGCGGCCGTCGTGAGTTCCCTTCGGGAACGGACACGATAATTTACTTTTCTTTTTTTTTATGCTTTTTTGTCTAGGTCATCAAGGCAAAAAAGCATAGCGTAGGGCCCTGAGCTTCCAAGCTCTCTCGTTAATTTTAATCCTTGGCTCTCCATCCAAGAAATTTTTTCTTCCGACTTTTCCAGTTTGCGTCTTTCCCTCAAACCGTAATAAGTAAAGAAAGAAAGAAAAAGAAAAAGAAATGTTCCCACACCGGGAATCAAACCCGGGCCGCGGCGGTGAGAGCGCCGAATCCTAACCACTAGACCATATGGGAGACACAACGTTCGCACAACAAGAGCACTTCTCGAAATTGACAGCGCCATTGGACTCATTTCTTGGGCGGTGCAGTCTTTCTACGGTGGCGGTGTGTTGCACAATACCATAATATAATATAGGCAATAGCCTAAACTTGCCGGGTGTTGGAACGTCCACCCTGCGGATTCGGCGCCGATGTGCATCCACTACAGCCTTCCAACCGCGCGTTACGTCATACAGAACCGTCGTACAACATCTCCTCCAGGCTAGAAAAACTAAAATGTTCTTCTTCACGCAGCAGTGACTAAACACAAGAGTGGTATACTATTAACAGGGCGTTGGAACCGGTGTGCTAGGTGAGGCCAAAGTCGCACCAATAATTTAATCTTTTTGATTCTGAAGCAATAAAATATGGGCTATTTGGGCCCAATTTCCATTTTTTTCCCCTGGGGACGGCCCTGGGGACGGCCCCGGAACCCCAACCCCCCCCCCCATTCATGGCTGCACCAATGTGGAATACCTTTCAATGCCCCTGTGTAACTGCACAGAGTGTACAGCTCCGTCTAAACCTCAATCAGACTCGTTTTCCAGAATTTCGTCGTCAATATCGACGTTATGTAGTAACGCGCCTGGCTGTACAGAAAAGCGTGTTGTTGTTGTTTCTTTATTTTACTTCACCATATGAACAGGCAAGACTGCCTTCTCACCGGGGCTATTGGCCCACGGCTCTCACAATATGATGTTGCTCGCGGTCAAGTTCACATCTCCGGGGCAGTGCAAATGGGCTGGTCACATCATTAAAAAAATGAAGTTCTGAAAGTGAGCCGTGACTAACACGCTGCGTATCAATAGCTGCCCATTCTGGAGCACCATGTGCTAGTCTTTTGCTTACAGCTACAAGTCATAATGCTCTCCTTCTCAATTAGACCATATAAATACTGCAAAATTGCCATCTTGGGTTCATATTATTGACAAAAAAAGGAAAAAAATGAGCATCCAAAAATATTGATTCCATGATCTAGATGTACATGTGCGTCTTCTGGGGGGAGGGGGGGGGGGGGTCAAGGGAGAGAAGCACCAAGGGTGCGTTTGGTTGGTACGATCTAGAACAGGATCGAACAGCTGGTGCACATGGAGCAGCCTCATGCCAACCAAACGCTACTCCAGAAACAGAGCACATTTTTGTGGAAAAATGTGCCAAACTTGGTGCATTCTTCAAAATGTGTATGGGTCACCATGGTCACTTTGTACGGTACGACGAGTCCAACCCAAAAGCGTATGCACGTGATCATTTTGGACCAAAATCGATGTTCCCGCCAGGTTTCACTGTGAAAAAGTGAAACTGCTCGGTCTGCTCCGGCCTCGAGGCCGGAGCAAGCAGAACATGTTCTGGCCGACCCAGAACAGGTGCAGTCCCAACCAAACGCGCTGTTCTGGTGAATCCTGTTCTAGTTCGTACCAACCAAACGCGCCCCAATATCGTCTCTAAAAAAACATCGATATTTACGGACGGCCCCTTAGCCAGATGGCTGAAATGACACCTCCCCGAAGACGAAAATGATCAAAAGGAAAGGGAAAAAAGAAAAGAAAAAAAAGAAATGTTCCCACACCGGGAATCGAACCCGGGCCGCGGCGGTGAGAGCGCCGAATCCTAACCACTAGACCATATGGGAGACACAGTGCTTACACACCAAGAGTTCCTCTCGACAGTAAGGGCCTACAACTTGAGTACAAGTAGTCAGACTGTGGCAAGAATGAAATCATCCAGGGATCATGAACAGAATCTCCACAGCAACGCGACGCCACAGCTGCAAAACCAAGGCTTGATGCTGTTGCGGAAAGGCAAGATTCGAATATGCTTTTTCTGCTCCAAACAGTAGGTTTATGCTGGTACGCCATAGACGTTGGTAGTCACTGGTTTTCCATCTCGATGTCGAGGTGCTCAGTGGCCACGGACAACAACAACAACAAAAAACTGATAAGAATGATTGCATGGATTGCACTGAAGGTGTTGGCGATGCCGAGGTGAAACAAATTGAGGAATACGTGCTTGGAATACAACTTCAGGGCTCACGGTTGTGTACAAATACGTGGGCGCCATTTTGTTTCTGGCCAGCTCACGCGACGACAGGTCGACTGTCACGCGACCACAGCTCGACCACCCCTTGTACACAAACTCTAGCCATCTCGCAGCGCATTTTCAGTGCGACACATGCCTCTTCAAAATAGAATAAGGTAGCACAGGTAGACAGTACGACACTGAAAATTTGGGTGGAACCAGGCAAGATGTGAACTAGGGGTTCAACCGAAGGAATTTTTGATTTTGGCCCTGGGAAACTAAAGATATGGTCACAAAGTCGGTGAATGCTCTACAGCGATCCCTTCATCTAGAACAAAATCGCTTCGGTTAAACTGTAGCTTAGTATCTACTGAGGATTTTGAGCCATCGATTGTCAAAATCGGCCAATATTGTGCTACCTTATACTGTTTTGAAGTGAGCTAAGTCGGCAGGGGCGCACGCGAACTCCCGTGCGCGACGACAAGGAAGGAAGCCTGTGCATATGCGTTGTACGATGCGGAAACTACACCAGCGAGGCAGCATCAAGGCGTTTTTTGCAATGTTTCCTCCGTGACTGACAAACTCTTGAAATATTATTCACCGTTTGCTGTCTCGCTCATCGGCGCTCTACTGCTGTGTGCTTCAGCAGCTATGGCGAACCGAAAATACATGACCAGTACAACGGCGAAGCCATTTGATTCGTCCTCTTGCAACGAAACAGAGTGGCAAATCAAATAATTCACAACTCTCCATCGTCACTTCTCACAGCAGCGTGGCACGGCTCTTTCACTCGTGTAAGTGCATTTACAAAACGCTCTGAGAACAGAGATAACGAACTAGAACACGGTGTGAGTCTTTGCTTCATTCCATCAAGGAGCTCTTGTCCTCTACCTCTCCTCACCTGTGCCAGTGCATCAGCGGCGGACATAGATGTCGATCCCTTTCTCACTAAAAAAACTCGGCGGCAGAACTCGCGACTTCTCAGCGCAGGGCTCAGCGTGCGAACGAACTGTCTGAAGCCTTCGGCTTACGAGGCCAGCACTGCTCGCAACACACTCGCTCGGAAAGAAGCAATAACAACGACAGTGAACGGCAACCAAAGTGAAACGCAAGTCCCCAGCCGGTCTCCGTCTTCCTCAGTTCTACTGCTTCTTGTCAGTCACCAGGTCACTGCAACTCTCTCCTTGCTGTGCTCCGCGCCGCGTAGGCGTGCACAGCTCGAGTCACGCGAGCTCATTTCTATGGTGATCAGATTTCAAGATGTCCTCCCACGTAATCGAGTTTTGGCATCCCAACCGTGAGCCCTGAACTTGACGCTCGAATTGAAGTTTGAATTTTCATACTCGCTATGTGTAGTGGGATTACGACGGTCAACTAGAAAAGTACATGTATGGTGGATCGAGATTTTAATCCTGAACAATTTTCTTTTCTCGTCAGGCACCTGAAATTTGCCGCAGTCTGACCAGGCCCTAAAAAAAAGACATACCGGTACTTGTACCGACGAAAAGAAGAGTTAAAAAAAGAAATGTTCCCACACCGGGAATCGAACCCGGGCCGCGGCGGTGAGAGCGCCGAATCCTAACCACTAGACCATATGGGAGACACGATATTCACATAACAAGAGCACCTCTCAAAGTTGAGTAAGTTAGTGAACACCGGAAAAGCAGAGTTTGCAGTTCAGGTGGGTAGCTGTTCTCCCAGACTGCGGTACTGCTGAATGAAATCCAGTCGCAGCATCACTCAAGTACGCGCTGGGCGTTGCGCAGCGCTAGACCTGCAAATACTGGCCTGTGAAACGGTGCAAGGCGCAAACTTGAGGGACGCGACTGGATTTCATTGAGCACTGGACTGTACATTATTGTCAGTGCTGTCAAGCAACATTCCAGCATGATTTCGGCTGAACGTCTGCACTGCGGTTATGCAATGCCTCACCCTTCACCTGCCATTTTCATCCAATGCGTGTGTACGACGCAAGCCGGGACAATACACACCGCAATGTTATCAAAATCTTCTACGACTGTAGTCCGTACAGCATCACAAGCACAATGATCACACAGCAATGACGCAACCAAGTCCTTTTCCGCCGTTACT